GGGGGGGGGGGGGGGAGGCGACAAAAAAACAAAAAAACCCAAAACAAAAACCAAACAACAACAACAAAAAACCAAACAAACCAACCTAAACTCTCATAGTGAAGAAATAGTTGTGGGTTTTTTTTTTTTTAAAAATAAGATATTCAGAAGAATGCCAGAATTTAATCTCCTGCATGATGTAGCTCAGTCCCAGTTAAGCCCTGTGATTCATCATACAAATCAGCATCTGGTCAGAAATGTATCTTTCTTGAACCTTTTGTCCGAGGTATTTTTCCAGGCTTTTGAAATCTCCAAAGAAACATTGGAATGGTTCTACTATTTCATTTTTTCAGAGTATTCCAAGATGGAAGTTCACAGGGTGCTACATCCTTTAAATTCTCATGGAGAATGCACACAGTCTCAAATGAAATCTATAAACACTTAGTGCTCAAAGAATGAAAGTCAATCAGCATCTCCTTCCAGGAACCACCATACTGAACTTGCCTGGGCTTCAAGATTAAGAGGGAGCTTTATGCTACTTCTGTGAAAGACATGTCTTTCTCCTTCTCTGAATTACGACGCCATGCTGTAACTCACACCCTCTAAAAACCTTCCTGACTCTTACAAGCCACCCTTCCACTTCCACCCTCCTCCTGACATGCTACCCCAAAGCCAGAATCTCCCTTTCATGTGTTCAGCCTTCTCAAACATCTTTCTAACATCTTCCTGTTCTCAACTACAGATTAAAGCCCAAGCCCTCACAGTCCGAGCACACGTACCACCACCGCCTTGTCACATTCCCAGTTTCACTTGGCCCTGACCATGCTCCAGCCTAACAAGCATGATGATACACGCAAGGGCCACAGACATCTACATTCCTGATTTCCCACTTCTTTCATTTCACTGAAGTCCAGCAGAGACAGAGTATTACTCCAGGAGAAGTTATGACATTATACTTTGGAATAAAATCTGCAAGTTACAGAGCTTATCACAGTAAGAACATTTTGGCTCAAGGTGGTTTCCCATGCTGTTTTACAGGAGGAACCTGGAGTTTGTCCCTTCTGCCTCTCACCTGGCAACCCTGTTCTCCCACCTCC